TCCCCCCTCCCTCTCCCATCAAGGCGAGGAACCTTTTCATTTCTCCCCTCGATCCCTCCACCTTCGCCCCAGGCCCACGCGGAGGGGCCGTGGGCGCAGGGCCGAGCACGGACGGGGCGCCCCGCAGGCGCGCACGGGGGCGCCCTGTGCCCCAGCTTTCAGGGAGGGGTGCCGGGTCGCCACCTGTAAAGCTGGGGGCGAGGCCAGGAGGCAGGCAGGTCCCAAAGCTCAAGTCAATGCGGAGACCTGCCCTCGCACAGTCAAGGGTGGGCACGGGTGGGTTAAATTACCAGCCACCGGCGTCTAAAAGATAAACCATAAGGATAATGCAAATAAGACAGATAATGCAAATAAATATATAATAATTGAAAATAAATACTATAAGAATAAACGTCCACGTACCCTCTACTGTAGGCTTACTTTTGCCCACCCCGTCCTTTAGCAGCTGTGCCCTGGCCATGCCCGGGGACATTCTCACTGGTTCCCGGGCAGTGCTCTCCCTTCCCATTTAATATGGGTGTCATTAGGCCAGAAATTAAGACAAACATTGCCCGGAAGAGGCCGGGTAGGAAAAATGTGCAGCATGGGGGCTGCAGAGATTCCGGTGCCCCGGGAGTCGGTCGGCTGGTCGTGCGCAGCAGGCAGCCTGCTGGCCCCTCGGTGACCCCGCCGTCCTCGCAGTGACCCCAGCAGGAGGCCCAGCCTGCTTCTGCCGGCCCCCCAGCCTGCTTCTGCAGGACCCCCTCCTCCCGGCTCCTGACGGTCTGGACGAGAGCCAGGCCTGTGAGCCCAGAGCTGACAGAGGAGGGTTCCCAGCTAGGAGTGTGTGTGTGCATTTTCAAAATGTTTTCAAAATCTAATTTGTGATGTAATATATACGTGCGTCTTTATTAAGTCATTAAGTAATGAGATCCAGCTGCAGACCTAATGCTGCCATGAGTGTAAGGGATACGTAAAGACATTCACCATAACCGTCAGGCGATACAGCTGTGATTACTGCTGGTGACAGACAGCCACAGCTCCTGCCCATATCACTGAGCACTGTCCACTACATTCCTAAGGGAAATGTCCCATTTCCTGAAACTAAGGATAGATTCCCCACCATGCAAGGAACGAGGCCCCTAAATTCCCTGTGTGGACCCGAGGTTAAGAACCCGCTAGACCGATTTTCATAGCAGAGGTGTCGGTTTCCTGCTCAGAATCTCTTGACGACTCATCCATTCAATAACGAGCTCTCACCGCGCACTGAAATAGGCCCGCCTTTAGCCTGGCATTCGAAGATCCGCTTTACCAATTCATTTTTTCTGCCTTAAAAATTGACATAAGTGGTATTGTATTTTCTATTCTTTTGCCACTTGCCTTTTTCATTCAAAAGGGTCCCTTCGCCCGAGATTTATTGTTGACATGTGGTTATCTATAGATTTAGTAAAAAATAAGCTGTATCATATTCTATTGTCTAAACAGACCACAATGCACTTAGGCTTTTCAGTGTTTGTGGATATTTAGATTGTTCTCATTTTTTGTAAACAATGTATTGGATTTATTGTTGCTATTTTTAAATGACTAAAGTAGTTTTAAATTCTAATGCATTTGTTATTGGTAGCTAAAACCCATGAAAACAAAAGCTCTCGGGGGTCCTCAGATCTCCTTATTCCAGGCCAATTCTACCCAAGTCACAGATGGGCACATGCTAAGCCCTTTCCTAGAATTGGGTCCTGTCTGTGTCAGGGGCCCAACCAAATCCTTTCAGGGGAGCCCAACTTTATAAACAAGCACCTCACATGTTCCCTGGGCCCCAACTGCAATTGTAATCTATTTACGTTTTTTATCACCTGATTTGGGGAAATGAAATTCTGCACTCCCAGCTGGAATATGCCTGATTTCCATCTCCACTTGGCTGGCTTCAATTGATCTTTTTTTCTACTGCCTGATTAACTAACTTCTGCATTCTTTTCATAGTTTCCTTGTCTGTCAGCTGCAATCCTGTTGTCATTTTATTAACCATCCTCTCTCTACAGTGTGCCTTTGTTTGCAATTACAGCTAATTTTGTTCTTATTTTTATTTCCTTCTTCCCACTTTTTAAATGTTCCTTGTTATTTTTCTAATTTCTTGAGCAAAATGGTTAGCTTCTGACCCCACTTAACCTTAATTGCCTCCCTAGAAATCCTCTCTCCAAATACAGTCACATCGAGGGCTAGAGCTTCGGTTTGGGGGCGTACAATGTGGTCCGTAACCTCTACACGTGTGTCTCCTTCTCAGTGTCCCTCCCTGTGCGTGTCTCTCTCATCTGCCTCTCTTTCGCAGGCACTTTAAAAAATAACTATGCCTGCCATCAGGTATATCCACTAATATGTTATATAGTAAAATAATATTAAAGTGTCTTTTCATTTAAAAAAAATAACTATGCCTGATATCTACCCCCAGTGGTTTTGATTTAAGTAACCTGGAGTCGGTCTTGCTATTACTTTATAACTTTACGTTTGTATTTTTTTACTTTCAGAAGTTATTAATGTTTTTAGTAAACTTTTTACTTTAGAAGTTTTAGTTTCACAGAAAAGGTGCCAGAGTATGAGAGTTTCTGCAGACCTTGTACCCAATTTTCCCTACTGATGACATGACTTTGGTACATGTATCACAACGAATAGATTGATACTGACACATCCTTATGAATTCAAGTCCGTATTTATTCAGATTTACTTGGTCGTTACTTACCATCCTTTCTCTGCCCACGATTCCATCGTGTCCCCTTAGGCTTCTCTGGACTGTGCTGGACGCTCGGCCTCTGAGCCACGCCGGCCGGGCGGGACCCGCTCCTCTCTAAGGACGGGGACCTTGGGGCTTTGAGTAAGTGATTCAGCCACGATCAGCCAGCTTATGTGTGTAAAGGCGACTCCCGGCTTGTCTGACCCCATTACAGTGGACTCAGGGACTATGCGCTTAGCGATTTCTAGTGAGGGGGGCGGACGGCACACGCACGAGGTACACCTCATATACAGTAAAACGTGCACATCGCAAGTGCTCACTCAGTCCGAGGAGCTTTTCATGTGTAAGCACCACGTACTCCGAGGTATAGAACATTTCCTTCTCTCCGGAATGTGCCCTTGTGCCTTTCCCAGGATTAATCATTATTCTGACGTCTGTTACCATAAATAAGTTTCGCCTGTTCTTGAACTTTGTGTAAACGGAGCGGCCAGCCCGGCTCCCCCTCCGGGGAGTGAGCGTGCGCGAGCTGGTGCATGCCGTGTGCCGCCGAGTCCTGTTGGCCGGCTCGGTGACACAGCGAAAGGAGCCGGGCACGCAGGGCCCGCACTGTGGAAGCCCGCGCTGAGTCACGGTGTTCTCCAGACCTCGAACCAGGCTGGGGGCAAGGCCCCGTCCCGGGTGAACTGGCTCCACTGTATTTGCTTTGGGCACAGTAACGAGAATCATTACCTTGGTGAGCTTCCTCTGTTTCATCAGTTCCACTCCTTAATCACATTAGACGTGCCCGTGGAAACAGGGAACTCCGCTGGGACAGCCCTGGTGAGTCAGCGTCTCGTCCCACTTGATGGGAAGGCAGGCTGGGGGGTATTGAGACGCCAAGCTTTTGAAGGGTGAGGGCCACCGCCTGTTTCTCCCGTCTCTTTATAGCACTGTGCTGGGCAGAAACACACCCAAAAGAAAATAAGAACCTCAGGCTACTGGGCTTGA